GTGTGAATCCAGTCAATGTGATTAGGTGGTGGTTCAACGTTTGCGCAAAATTTAAAAACTGAGTTTATTGGGAAAATTAACCATAGACTAGCATATTATATGAACACAGCCATTATCTGTATTTCAGGCATTGTTGGAATTAAACCACTCTTTGAATTTCTTATGGTGGCCAGAATAACATTAGTTAGGAAACATGAAAAATAAAAAGACGGGTGCAGTATATCCGGTATTATATTATATATGAGCTGCAGGTCTATTGAATGATTTAATCTGTGAACTGGGAAGACCCAGCATGTGTGCACATATATTTGCATAGTTAAACCTGCTTTTCATTAAATCGTTTTCTTCTATTGGAACTGGCTTATTTGAGATTTGTTCCTGTCTGTTGCTTTCTGAACATATCTTAGGTGCAAAAATTGAACACCATACAATGAGAAAAAGAAACCTCTGCTGTTAATTTTTTAAAATGTTTTGAAACCAAGGTAATGAACATTTTTATTGTCAAAAGAGGTATAGCTGTTTAACACACAGTGGAGAAGCTAATACCTTGACATAACTGCACAACTGATCATTTATTAACTACCGGTCAAGATAAACAATGTATTATATGCACAAACCTAGCTGACAACATACAACAGCCTGCTTTAAGGCTAGGGAAAGTCATTAGAAATGGAGGGAGAGGAGGTAAATACAAGACAGTGTTAAATAAGAGTTAAACAGAAAGTACTGTTCTTCAATGCTTGCATTACATCCTTCTTGGCAAATTGCTTGATAAGAATCAAGGATTGTTGAATAAGATTATGTATTCCTTATTATCTGACATTCCTCAATCTTGTGTGAGTTTGAAGTAAGTTCTGAAGATTCTATTTTCTTCATAGTGAAAATATGCAATTTCCCATAATGGAGAGGTCTGCATGTATTATCAGTAGAAACAAAATCCCTGGGGGAAGATCTAAAGGTTAAGAAAATCTAAACCTCTGGTTTCTTTTTCACCTTATGTCCTTCTGCTTTACATTTCCTATTTGGATATTTTTTATCTAATGGCCTCCTGCAAAAGATCAAATTCAAAAGACAACTATAGAATACAACATGGAATGTTTTGAAGCCACATCAAAGAAAATAAAGAACTGTGGTGGAAGTTTAGGAGCCCATCATAATATAGCTGCTTCTTGGAGGATAAGCATTCATCAAACATAAGCATTAGGCATAGGTTAGACATTATAGCAATAATTTAGTGTGTTGGAGCTGGGAGGCTGATCCAGTGATCCCAGCATAATGTATGTACCAAGTACCAAAATGATGAGCATATACTGATATGTGGTATAACAGATCAAAGTTTCAAATAAGATTCAATCAATTGCTCCTAAGACTCTCGCAAGCAAAACATAAAAGTAAAAAATCTGTTCATGTTGTATGTCAGCCTTACTCAACCAGAAAGCCTTTCTCTTTCCAAACTGTAGGAATTTAATTCCAGCGTATCTAGATGAAGACTGTTGTATAACTTAACTTCAGATTCATTGTGCTGGAGATGGACACTGTATTCTTCAATAGATAGTAGTTTAGATTAGTACAGAAAGTATTAAGATACCAAGGAAATAAAGATTGTTGTATACTCAGTACTTTTGTCATTTATAACATTTTAGGAATAAAATTATTTTTATTTTATTTAGGAATAAAAATGTCTGTATTATAAGTTAGCATCACCTAGCTCTCTGATTTGCCCTGCAATATTATTATCCTCAGATAAATTCTGGTATAATAAGCAATTTATTACAATAATATATTTCCTTCCCACCTAGGTATTACCGTTCTTAATTGAAGAAAATAGAATCTAGAAAAAAAAACTTTGGATACTGTATACACATGGTCCTCGACTTACAACAGTACATTTAGTGACCCATTCAAAGTTACAACGGCACTGAAAAAAGTGACTTATGGCCATTTTTCACAGTTCCAACCTGTGTTCAGAATTCAGATGCTTGGCAACTGACTCATATTTTTGATGGCTGCGGTGTCCCAGGATCATGTGATCCTCTTTTGCGACCTTTTGACAAGCAAAGTCAATGGGGAAGCCAGATTCAATTAACAACTGTGTTACTAACTTATCAACTGCAGTGATTCACTTAACAACTGTGGCAAGAAAGGTCATAGAATGGGGCAAAACTCACTTAACCAATGTCTCAGCAACAGAACTTTGTGGTTGTTAAGTCTAGGACTACCTGTAGTTCACAATGCCTTGAACCTTCAGGATGGGCATTAACTTGTATAGCCACATTTTTCTTCTTATTCTGCAGCAAGATTAGTATTTCCTATAAAGGAAAGCCTCTCTGGTTCCTTTCATGGGGAGAGGGTGGCACTAATCAGGTAAAAAAAAAAAGCATCTTTCCCTGAATGCTTCTTGTTTTAGCACAGGTGCTCAACAGAAGAAGCCACAGCGATCTCATGTCATCACGTAAATGACATTAATTTTGTCATTTCTGTAAGTTGCAACATAATATATCATTGGTGTCAATTTTGTCTCTGTCATGACATATGTGATGTCACTTATCCACTTTCAGCCCTACTGAGGATGCCTATGATTTTTCCTCTCTTTCTAAAAACGAGACATTGGGAAATTTTTGTATCAAATATACAAATTATTCCAGATATTTTTTTTTTTTTAAAAAGCAGTTTGTTTGGGTAACTCAAATTAAGATTTTTTTTAACCAATGATGCTCTTGCTGGATTCATACAGACTATCATGTAGAAATCCTAAATTTATTCTGCAAAACTTTTATGATGTTCTGAGTGACATTTATGAATACCTATCAAGAGCTATACTAACCCAATTAATTTTGATTGCTATCTTGTAACCAGATAAGTCTGATTAGCCTTGATTGTGTTAGCATATTGCCCTTTTATATATAGCTTCTGATTGAGTCTTTGAAGTTCTGGGAAAATCCAGGTCTTGGTGACTAACTCTGGAGTTATCTTTCTCTTCAATCAGTGAATGGCTTCACATGCCAAAGTCATGCTGAAACTTTTGTTTTGACTGCTGTTGGAACTTTCCTCTTTAAGATCCGAAACCACAATGTAGCAGTCATTCCAGCTATTCTTATGTTCCAAATAGGAAGGGGGAATGCAGAAAAAAGGATAAAAAATAAACTTATAAGTTTTTATTATTTACATTTTTAAGAATATATCCAATACATGAAAATTCCTGGGTGTGTATTTATTATATTGTTTAAATTCTCAAAATATTAATTATATTAATGATCAATAATACATAACAGAAAAAGAACACTACAGAAAGGATTAGTGGATAGAGCTCTTGGTGTTAGGATATCTATTATTTTTAATTTTATTGTACTGTAAGCCACCCAGAGTTGTTGCAGAGTTGGGCAGCCTTAAAATTGGAATATTAAATTAAATTCTTACAAAAATCAGGAGAATTTCTATATTTAATATACTTAATCAGATTGGATGGTAAATCCAACGAGGAGGGGTATAGTGGAGGCTGTTGCTAGGTTAGAAGTAACAAAATTTATCAGAGTTGAATCTTAAGATAATTTAATATTAAGGAAGTTCATGTTGAACAAATGTCTCCTTTCTTTCTCCTGCCCCAAAAGTATTGGTATGGGGTTGTGTACTGAGGCCTGGGAAAACTAATTGAAATTGGATGGATCATCTGTTTTAGATTCATATATTCTGATGGGTTCAAAACTTAGAATCCAAGCCAAACAGATTGTGCTACAATAGTCCTCAACTTGGGACCACAATTGAGCCCAAAATTTATGTTGTTAAGTGAGAAATATGTTAAATGAGTTTTGCCCCATTCTATGACCTTTCTTGCCACAGTTAAGTGAATCACTGCAATTGATAAGTCAGTAACACGGTTGTTAAGTGAATCCGGCTTCCGCATTGACTTTGCTTGTCAGAAGGTCACAAAAGGGGCTCACATGACCCTGGGACACTGCAGCTGTCATAAATATGAGTCAGTTGCCAAGCATCCAAAGGTAAATCATGTGACCATGGTGATGCTACAACAATCATAAGTGTGAAAAATTGTCATAAGTCACTTTTTTCAGTGCCGCTGTAACTCTGAACGGTCACTAAATGAACTGTTGTAAATCGAGGACTACCTGTACTTATGAATGCAAAAAGAGACATGGGAATCTCAGCCTCTTATAAAAATACCTACTCCATTATCACTCTTTGAGTTATGTCCTATCTTACAGAAATATTGAGAGAATGAATTAGACATGCTGCCCACCATCCTGGTTTTTTGGGGGGGAAGGTTACATTACAAAGGCACAAATAAATCATTTCTCTTTCTAAAGTTCAAGAAAGAAGAGATTGCTATGCGGGCTGTGTGTGTGAATATATACTGCTCAAAAAAATAAAGGGAACGCAAACTCCTTCAGTTCCATGTTAAAATGTTCCCTTTATTTTTTTGAGCCGTATATTTTACGTGGCTTGATTCTTCCAGGAATTATGTTTCTGTCTACTGTACACTGGACAGCACATTCCTCTGTTAAATTTCCTTGGGCATAAATATGCTTAAGTTAGCTTTATATTCTTTTTCTGTAGCTTTGATCACGGACCATCAAATTCTCCTCTTTCTTTTTACGTCTTGGGCGCCTTAACATACCTGATGAGATGCGTGCCCGGAAATAGGCATTCCATCTTTTTTTTTTTTTTATGTCTCTCACATGGAGGTGTCTAGAAAAGAATGCCCCTTCCTAATTTTGCCCCATTGTCTCCTCTGCAAAACGACCCCCAGGCGCCTTACCACCTCCGCGCGCTCCCCCCCCCCACTCCCTCAGGCGCGCAGCGACACCTTGCGAAATAGACGGGCGCCCACGTGGGGCGGCGTAACCAATAGCTGCAGGAGGGAGGGTCAGAAGTCGGGCAGGTTTGTAGCATTTATTGGCACTGGGTTGGCCGGCCGGCTCTAGGTTTCTAGTCGGCCGGCGATCGTTGAACTGGCGCGTCGGCTCCGCGGGGAGGCGGAGGCGGCCATGGAGCATGTCCCGCCTTCCGATGCTCCGGCGGGGGTCTCCCCGTTCAAAGATGGGCTTTTCCCGTTCCCTAAGGCGCCGATGAAAAAGCAAGCGGTAAAGCGGCACTACCACAAGCACAACCTGCGGCATCGCTACGAGTTCCTGGAGACGTTGGGCAAAGGCACCTACGGCAAAGTGAAGAAGGCGAGGGAGCGATCCGGCAAGCTGGTAAGGGGGAGCGCACATGGTTTCCTTCCCACTTTCTCTCATCTGCTGCCTTTCGGCCGGGTCCTCGGCCCGGCTTCCCCGTCCAGGGGGTCGTGTTGGCAGGGGATGGTGGGTCGTGAGGTCCAAGCACATCTTGAATGCGCCAGGTTAGAGAAGGCGACTGGTTTTTATTGGACTACGGTATGTATGTATATTCGCGTGCGCCTATGGATGGGTAGGCGGCCGGAGATTGAAGCTGCGAGTGTGATCTGTGCACACATGCTCGCGTCTGCTGAGTTTTCGCCTTTTATTCCAGGAACCTGCGTGTAAGGTTGCTGCTGTTCGACATGGTTGCAAGGCTAAGAAACTTCGCTTTTCAGTAAAAACGTGCATAAAGTCGCGCTAACAATACAGCAATCAGAAAGCTAGGCACATCGGATGTTTTTCAACTTTTACTTTTTTCTCTTTCTCTCTCTCTCTTCTGACCCGAGTCAGAATCCTTTCCTTGTCTCCCTCTTACGATTTTTTATTTTTTTTTTGGGGGGGGGGGTACGGGCAACCTTAAGGAAATCTGCCGAGCGAAGCGTTCTTTTGAATTTTCCCGCTATTTGTTTGCCTGCGTGGGTACTTGTAAAGTACTTGTAAGTGAAGGAAAGCCCTCTACCTTGAGTCCGCAGCCTTTCTCTTTTTATTGTCCCCCAGCTTGTTTAGCCATATAACGGCAATTCCCCCCCCCCCCCCCGCGCCTTTCCTTAGCATTGCAGAATGCTGTGGTTTCGCAGCCGTGGCTGATGATCCCTTGCAGCTGATGTAATGAGGGTTGATCTCTCCTCCTTCCGTTCTTCTGTTTTTTTCCCCCCCTTCCCTGGGAAACAGCGCAGGGCTGACTGTGGCTGCTGTAGCTGGACTGGCAAAGCTAGTGACTGCAGAGTGCTTTTGGCTGGGAAAGGGGAGGCGTTTTGCTGCACAGTGAAAGTAATTAGGAACCTACACCCTGCAGGGTTTGCTGATGGTAGGGGGAGGTTAGCAGTCTAGCAAGAAAAAGAAAAAACAACAACGCAAAGCCGGGGAGAGAAAAGTGGGATTGCATAATGGTTAATTATTTTAATTTATATTGCACACTAATGGTCATACTATGGGCAGAAGAAAAAAATCCTGATTTTTTAATCTTTTTTTTTACAACAATGTATTAGATTAATCTGCAGTTCCATTCCGGATATTATCAGTGCAGGTCCCTGTTGACCCATGAGTGAGGTCTACATATTTCAGTTGGGTTAAATATGTCTCTGCTGGTAGCTTTAAGTGAACGTTTTTCCCTGTTTCTATTGAAGGAGATAAAGTTTAATTTCGGGTACATTTAAAATCCTAGGAGTTAACACTGACTTAAAGATGCACACAGGGACCCACACATTAATTAATACAGCTTTTGTTAGGTTGGATCTCCACAATGGAATTTACAGCATTTGTTATGTAAGTGACCCAGCTTATTGGATAAGGAGTTGGATTCTAAGTTAATGCAGTAGTGCAAAAAATAGCGCAAAAATTGCATAGTGTGTTGAATCAAAATAGACTTTAGCAATGTGAATTAACATGCAGTGAGACAGGTCCATGCAAATTAAATGCAGTCTTGCAAGACTTCTCATGCCTCCTTTAAATCATTCTAGCTAGTGAGGAAAAGGGATAGGATTAAGGGCAATTACATCAGAGCAAGGGTGATAAGTTTAGAGCTCTCCTACAAAGCTCCCTGCGTGGTTTTTCTTTTTGATGATAGTGGGAAGCTGTTGTGAGCCAGTAGCCTTAGTGGACTGGGATTATTGGGGGGGGACCTTTGGCAGAGCTGTAGGTGCTTCCCCTTTAAAAGAATGAGGAAAGATGGCCATCTTGTGCGTCTACCGTATGTTTATGTCCTCCCCACTCTTCAACTTTTTAATGTAATTGATTTGGCATGAATTGCCTGCCTGTATACTGTTTGCCTCTCTTGAAATACTAAAAGCTAATTTTATTGGCTGGAAGTTAAGGGGTGGGGAAGGTACAGTATCCAGAAGAGCAAGATCCAAAGGTCTCTGATATCATCCTTTTAACCTTGTTTTTCCTGTGTAAATTAGCATTGCTACAAGAATGTGCATTCACTGGTTATGTAAGCACAGTGTAAATTTGCCCTAAAGCCTATGTCTTGGCTTTCATTCAGTAGAATACTGTAGTTTGTTGAAAGAACTTATCCTGATGGTATTGTTTGTCTCTCCATAAACCCCTACATAAGATATATTGCTTAAGCAGGATTGGCAAAAGCCTAAAGTTTGGAAATAAATTATCTGTGGCAACCCCATTGGTTTGGAACATTAGTAAGCTGGGCTGATGTGGGGAGTAGATAAACAGTTCGAGTCATGCTGACTGAAGTCACAGATCTTGTTTCCCTGTGAAAGAAGAGATTACATGTTTATACTAGCCTGAAAGAATAAATATTATAAGCTTACCAACAAAAATAGCAGGTAATACAACTTGACCCCTTTTTTTTTACCATGCCCAGGTTAGTCAAACTTAAGTCCGCATACTTAATTTCATCCTAGTAAGCTACTTTTATCTCTTTCTTTTTCATTTATTAATATCAACCTTTCCTGAAGAGTATCCATAAGTTCAGAAGCTTGCTTGTTTTGTTACTACCACTAGGAATTCTATTGCTACTTGCACATTCAGGTCTTTAAGATCCACTAAGTTTCCAGTTTCTTGATCTAAATAACATTGATTATATTTATGGAGAATGTGCTGTTTTAGTTTTAATTTTTCTTAACAACCAGTTTGATAAAATTGTACTCGTAATATGGGTCACCTTTTCTTTCTTTTCATGTTACTTTAAAAAAAAACAAGCTGTAACCAAATGATGCAAACTTCTAAAATGTGTGACATTCTTATTACAGTTTGCAAACTTTAAACACTGTCAGTTTAAACAAATCTAGATCAGACCAAAGTCCAGCTTTGGTACTTAAGAATAAATCCCATTAAAAGAAACAAGGTCTGTTTTGAATTATATGTGTTCTCTGAAGTCATCTTGGGGAAAAAATTAAGCAGTTGGATCTGGTAAGCACTTGAATGGAGACACTAGAGATCTATTCTAGAGCTTTAACCTAGACTTAGAAGTCAAACATTCTTGAAGCAGGCAATGACAAATCAATTCTGGGTTGTTGCCAAGAAAACTAGATGGAAGTTCTCAGTAATCCCCAGAAGCTTAGCTTGACTTGACTGAGTCTTTATCCTTTCATTCCAAAGCTAGCATCTTGGTAAATAGTCATATTGCAGCACAGTATAAGTGCTGCTAATCCTAATCATGCATTTCCTATCTTAATTTAAGCCATAGCTTGAATATCACTGTTACTTCTGCTTTCAGTTGAACAAGGTGACACCTCTGTTTAGAGGATGCTTCTTGTTATTTATTGTATGGATCAACTTTCCCCAACCTACAAGTGGCAGCTATGGCTAGGAGGGCCTTTGCACCGCTTCATCTGATGAGCCAGTTGTGCCCCTCCTCAATTAGGCAGCCCTTCAAACACTCATATTATTGTCATTTTAGGATTCAACTGTTGCAACGTGTTCCACAAGGGACTGCCCTTGAAGACCACTTGGAAGCGTCAACTGGTCAAGAATACAATAGCACAAGCAGTGGGGGTCTGTCTAGGCATGCTCGCATGACACCTTTGCTTCATGAGCTACACTGGTTGCCAGTATGTTTTTGAGTGTGATTCAAGGTGCTGGTTATCACCTGTAAAGCTCTGCATAGCATGGGAGAATTGATGTTATGTGAAGGACCCACCAATCTCCAATGGTGTCTGCCTGACTGGTAAGAGCCATTAGAGTGGGCATTCTCTAGGTCTCCTTGATTAAATAGTGTCATCTTTCAAGACCCAGAAAGTAGATTCTTTGACACAGCACTTGAAAGCTTGTCCCCGCAAAATCTGGATGGCTCCTACCATGATGACATTCCAGAAACCTTGAAGACCTGTTTGTTTTCTCAGACCTTGGGGTAGGGTAGATGAACTCCTTATTAGATGTATTTGTTACATCTTCATATTTTATTTTATTTTATTTATTTTTTATATTGTGAGCCACTCCAAAGTTGGTGTGGAGATGGGCAGTCCTGAAATCTAACCAGATAAATAATACTTGAAGGCTTTTGGAAGTATTGGAACTATAGTTCCCAGAATTTTCTATCCTGATTCAGTTAATTTAATCTGGGTGAATGGTCTTGTCGAATTACTTTCCCTTACTATGTTTAGATCTAGTTAGACTTTAAATAAATCCAAAAAAGTTTGCGCAATGATGTATCTGATCAAACAAAATAAATGCTATACTTACCAAAGCAGAGTAGAAGTAAAGACTTGAAATCAACATACTGTAGAATGTGGTAATAGCTTGAACGTTTAACCAACTTTTATACATTCATTTTTTAAAGATGTTCTTACTTTCCATTGCTTTTTTAAAGCTAATAACTGCTGTAATGACCCTGAAATACTATGTAAAGAAATTTGAGTGCCTTGTTTTTTTCTGTTTGAAACTGCATATGAAACTGCAGAGTGCATCTATGGTGAAGCTTATTGTCTTCTATTTCAGTTTATTATTTTGTATTTATAAGCTAGGGAGAGTAGCTTTTAGTCCTTGGCTCTCTGCCAGATCAAACTGTAGGTCTGGATTTCTATAGTTTTACTAACAGAATGTAGTACTTACAATCAAAGGGTCGAGCTATGCAAGAAAGAAAGAGGGTGATTTTCCTAAAAAAAAAAATAAAAAAAAAATCCACTCCACTCCACCCCGCAAACCCAGGATAGTAGCAAATACAGGGGATTTTGACAATCAGATATAAACCATGATTTCTTAGGGATATGGCTATGTATAGAAAGTGGAACTCATTCTAACGCACCTGGCAAACCTTTATTATCTTTTGAAGATCTCTTTCTCAATAAAAGCATAATTAAAGTCAGATTTGAAATGAGCGCTGAGACCAAATTGTAACAGTAAAAAAAAAAAGCTGACTGGTGATAAAGACTGTCCACCTGCAATCATAATTTGCAGTGATATCCTACAAAATCGTTTTATATTCCAGCTAGTTTTTATGTAGAATATGGTGCTGATTGTCCTAAGGCCACTTTCTAATGTTCTAGCTGTGCATAGTCACACCCTCCATCTAGATTCAGATAGAGTAGATTCATTAAAAACCAGTAAAGGTATCTAATATTGATTATTCTCGCATATATATCATCAAACATTATACAATGTTTTTATCCTCGTTATTGTATGTGAGTTTTTCTAGGAACATATGTTTAATTTAGAGTTAAAAAGGAGCCATATGATTAGGACTGCATAGTTAAATACCATGTTGGGCAAGGAAACGAGATAGATACAAAGCATACAATTTGAATCTTAACAGCATATTGTATGTAACAGTAAAACTCCATGTAATTTGTAGTAGGAAAAGTAAAAACCAGTCTGTTAAACCATTGTCTCTTATATGTCGGATTACAGCTCTCACAATGTGCAACCAGTACAGCCTTAGAGCTGTGATGTTGGCTCAGGATGATGAAAGCTGTATCCCAACGCATGTTGAAGATATCAGAATAGCCAATAAATATGAACAACTGGCTTTGCAGCTTATAGCTTTTAAGGTTGTCCTAATAAGACACAGAGCATAACTCAAGTGTATTTGTCCTTTTTTCTGGGCAGTTTTCATAGATGTGTCTCTTTTCTGAACAGACTGTGAGGGATGCATCTTGGAAAATGCACTGAGAATGAATATATGGTGCTGCTTCAGCATTAGCAGCTCTAACCACTTTAGGCATTCTTTCTAAATTTCAAGGGCGATTCTGCCTAGCTTTGAAGAAACATTTCAGACACATGCCTCTGGATCAGGTAGGAGTGCAGTTGGGGTTTAGATTTAAGACGTGAATGGGATGAGGACTTTTAAAGGTTAGGGAAGGCAGCTACTTGTTTACCAGAAAAGGCTTTGCCCACTAGTGATGCACATTCCAGAAACTTGTCCAAATGATGAGGCAATGAAGTGGGAAGAACTGAAGATTGAACCCGTGAACCTAGGACAAAGGCCATTTAATGAAAAAAGCTTATACTTATATTGTAGTTCTGCACAATATAAACCACAGAGAGGAGAGTTGCTGATCTACAAATATTTTGGACCACATTCTCAGAATCTCTGACACTGGAGATGGTACAGTGATGCAGTTCATTGCCCATGTGCTTATTGGTGTTGTGAATCAAAACCTTTGCAGGATGCTATTTTCAGACTTCTCTTGCACTAGTTATTCATTTGTGTGTCTCTCTGCCCCATTCCCCTGGGAAATAAATTAATTGACTCCTATAGTTTTTAAAACATTTTTAAATAAGACATGTTAATTAAATAGAACATTTTAATCTAGAAGACATGAGATTGGGAAAGATTGACAAATTGTGAATGAAACAATCTGTAGGTAGGAAGCTTTTTCTCCAGTTTCTTTTCTCTTTTTTCATTATCTTTTGGGAGCTGCCAGCATATTTTTTTTTTCTTTCAAAGCACCCAGAGTGCTTTCAAATGTTTTGTTGGCAGATTGTCTGTCTGTCTGTCTATCACATTTGGAACTGCCCATCTCCCTCACAGAGTGTACAGTGTTATATTTTTTTCTGCAAGAAAGAAAATAAATTATGAAGTAGGAAATAATCATGCTCTAGAATTTATATTCCTTAATTACATTTCAGAAATTGGGGAGGGTTCATCTCAGTTCTTGAAAGTATGGATCCTTACTTACCACTAACGCTAAGTGTGGTCTTCAATTTGCAGGGGGGGGGGAGTTTATTCCTTGCACAGGCAGGCCTGCTACTAACCTCTTTGAACTTTTTGTTGCAAGAGATTATTCATGACAGATAAATATATCTCTTAAGTTCATATAATTGGTTTATATTTTTGAGATATATCCTTTCCTTTAAAAAGCAACAGCACATCCTAAACAGGAAGGAAATGGTGATGATACAATGAGGGATCAGACAGTTCAAGGCTGTGGCCGCAATCCCAGTGTGATGATGCATGTGTGGTGAATGGTCAACCTCTTTTTTAGTTTAAAAATAATTGAAAGAATATACATGAAAAGGATATAAGAAAGATATAAAATATATTGGGAAATAGGATACCAATCATTATTCTTATTGAATTTTCAAGTGAACATTCTCTGTTAAGGCAATTCAAATCACTAAAAAAGCTATAAAACAGTAAATAATACATTAGATAAATACTGAAAGTTATAGATCAAATGAAGACATCATACTTTCTGTAACAGAAGCTGAATTTTGCATGTAGCATAAATTTATATATAACATTATAATCAGCAATAGTTTTCAGTTAGGATTAAATTCTGTATCAGAGTAACATGTTATTCCTAAATCAGACCAGTATTCCGATTATCTAATTAGCTTTTCTTCCAAAGAAGGAATCAAAAGATATTTTTTTCCCCAGTGGAAAAGTGGCCAACATTAATGTGTAAGTATTAGATGAATATATCTCCTCACTACTTAGCATTTTCTGAAAATAGCTTCACATGAAGAATAATATTCATATTAGTACCAGGGCAAAGTCATATAGTTCTGTTTTGCTTATATTGAAACAAAAATAAATTATATCTGAGTAAACTGAATCTCAGGTGACTGATAAAACTATTTATTCTTTAGCAAGAAGAGGAAATGAATTTGCTTTTTAGAATTCCAAGTTAAGTTTCAGCTTAGCAGGTTAACCATCTCTTCCATTCTACCACTAGTTGGGAGTCCAAATGATTTTGGACTCCCAACTGCAGGATATGCCTTAAATACACCATCTTTGGGAAGAGTTGAATGCTCTCTGCCCTCTTTCTCTCTCTCTCTCTTTATAGCAAAGAAGGAATTTGAGTTCATTGTGGCTGGATAGGGGAGCTCTAACATTTCTGCCTTTGGGATGCAAGACTAGGCCTCCCTTTCCTTGTTGCCAGGAGACTTAGTATTATGTGTCTTCCAGGATCCTTTTACAGGATTAATGCTGTTCCGCATTCTTGTCTGAGGGAGGATATGGAGGTTGTGCCGGATTCTGTTGAAAATTCAACCCAAGACATGCATTGTTTTCACAATCTCTTTGAAAGAGGATTAACTACATATATTCTTTAGCCGTGCTCACTTTCCCTCTCCTCTCCTTCTTTTACTTGGAAAAGAATTTTCATAATAAAGCAATCTGAGCAGTCTTTTATAAAGTTTGCTTCTGCTGTTTCAGATTTGCAGAATTTTGACTAGCTGGCTATGTTGGAGGAATTTCTGTGTTCATTACTTTTTAAAAAAATATTTGTCCAAAAGAGAAAATATTACCTGGAACTTTATGGCTTTATTTCAATGCCAAACTTTTTTTAAAAAAAAATCTGACCAAGTGACTTATTTTCAGCCATAATGGATGGCTGAGAATAACAATGTTTTCATTTGCAGCGAATAAAACATTTAGAGCCATGTGCTTTGCTCAGTTTCCATTCACTGGCTGTTTTATTACAAGAACTCTACCAAAACACCAATCCCTGCTCTGTATTAAGCTTTTGCAAAGTTGCTGCTTTGAAAAGAATCAAACAGATACTTTGTTTAAAGAGAAACAAAAGATGTTTAATTTAAAAATGAAAAGTCCCTTTTCTAAGAGGATCTTTAACCAAAATGCTTCAAGTGCCAGTGTGCTGACATCTTTGTGGTTAGCAGATAAGTTTTTAAAAAGGGTTAAGAAAAGCAAGAATTTAACAGTATACACATTTCTAAGCACTGAACCAATTCAATAAAAATGACCTAGAAAACCTTCAAATTGAGGCAGGGATAAATCACATAAATAAATAAAATAAAAAATAATAACATCATAGAATTCTCAAAATGTATGCTTCCAGATGGAGGATGTTAGTTCCCGGGCCCAGGAGTATGAATTTTAAAATGCATATTTAGTTATTCTGATAATGCTACTGACATCATATATATATTTGCTCCCTTGTTCTTTAACTTAATGTTAGGTCTCAAAATAAAAGCAAAGTAAGAAACAGTTTTGGATAATGGTTAAGATGCTTGACTAGAAACTGAGAGACCATGAGTTCTAGGTTTGGCTAGTCTAAAGAAAAGAAGAAATAGGGGAGACATGATACCATAGCAGTATTCCAGTATTTGAGGGGCTGCCACAAAGAAGAGGGGGTCACGTTATTCTCCAAAGTACCAGAGGGAAGGACAAGAAACAATGGTTGGAAACTGATCATAGAGAGAAGCAACCTGGAATTAAGGAGAAACTTCCTGACAGTGAGGACAATTGACTAGTGGAACAGCCTGCCTCCAGAAATCGTGGGCACTCCATCACTGGAGATTTTTAAGAAGAGACTAAACAGTCACTTGTCTGAGATGGTATGGGTTCTCCTGCTTGAGCAAGGAGCTGGACTAGAAGACCTCCAAGGTCCCTTCCAGATTCTACTCTACTCTACTCTACTCTACTCTACTCTACTCTACTCTACTCTACTCTACTCTACTCTACTCTACTCTACTCCTTTGTGCATGAAAGCCTGCTGAATAAATTTGGGCCAATCACTCTTTCTCAGCCCAACTCACTCACAGAATTGTTATAGTGGGCAAAATAGAAGGGAAAAGCATTACTGTGTGCACTACTTGGAGCTGTACACACTAAAGGTGGGATACAAATCTAATATTTTTTTTAAAAAAATCAAGTGCATTGATATGTTTTACATTCAGAAAATTTGGTTCGCTGTTAATTTGGGGAAAACTGCATTTCCAGGTTGCTATCAAGTCTATCCGGAAAGATAAAATCAAGGATGAGCAGGATCTTCTCCACATCCGAAGGGAAATTGAAATCATGTCTTCTCTCAATCATCCACACATCATTGCTGTTCATGAAGGTAAGAATTGTTTGTGTGCAGACTCAGTTTAAATTTATCTACTTGTTTTTCAGGCCTTTCACTATTCAGAAAGGGAGGAAATGGAATTCTAGAAATTGTAGCTGTTTTTAGGACAGGGTAGCTATTTCTAGCTCTATAGTTCAAAGCTGCTTAATGCAGCATTTGTAGAGTATGATTAGGTAGCTAAATCAAGATATTTTAGTGGAATAATTTATTTATACTGTACATGCTTTACTTTGAATAGGCCCAATTGCCAAACTTTCTAGGCAGATTATAATTTATTGAAACAGAGCATTAAAGATTGACTCATCTGATCTGTGGCTTAATAAGACTGCCGTAGTCTCTTGCATTTATGATGGTGGAAAGTTCTAAAAGAGACACTTGGCAAAGAACTTTCTTTTTTTTTTAGCTGTTGCATATTGGCACAAGCTGAAAATGTGGCAGTATAAAGTAAGATAATATCTCAGGGCAATGCCCAGGAAGAGTTTAAACTGGTTTGGTTACTTTTGATTAGGAGCCCAATTATATAGTATGGGGAGGAAAAGAAATATCAAGATTTTCTCTTCAAGCAGTGCTGGCCATATTTTCAGTTTTTACACAGTTGATTCTTTTGATTTTGAGACTTTGAGTCTGGGTAGCTTCCTTGTTCGTTGTATTGTTCATTATATAGGTACTGTGTACCATATCATGAAGGCATGGCTAGGTGAAAGATCTTGGAAGTGTTGTATTGTTAAACAAGAAATAGAAAAGTTAACATTTCAAAAGTATCATTCTGAATATTGCAGGGGTGTCTGAGGATGTGGTCAAAAAAAGTCATGGTGGGTGGCCATGATTCTGCCATCAAAGCTTCACTCATTTTTACATGCATTGCAATTGTCAGACATGAAAACTGGGCAGGTCATCTTAACTTTTTAACTATTATTGCTAGTATTGTAATTCAGAATCAACAAAGGCAACATAAGAATTGGTAAAAGAAATAGCCTGATCCTGGTCTAAAGTTAAACCATTATTATATTCAATGATGAAAAGTGATTGTATCCATGTACTGATCCCTGCACTTCTTTGGCAGGTAGTGTGGTCTGTGACTAAAATTTTGTTTTAGTTACAACTCACGATGTTTCCTAAGAGGGGAAATTCATTAAACTTAAATTTACCTACTACAGTACATACTGCAGCAGTTTAAAACAGTTAAACTATTTGGCCATACATTTTCACAAATATACAAATTTGCAGGTCAGGACAGGAATTAAAGTGCCAGGTTTATTATTAGAATAATTTGGCATTAAATGTCTAGAATTCTTCTTTATAACTGTTCCTAACCTTTTCTCTAATCTTGTTTGTATAGTATTTGAAAACAGTAGCAAGATTGTCATTGTGATGGAATATGCCAGCAAGGGAGATCTTTATGATTACATTAGTGAGCGCCAGAGATTGACGGAGCAGGAAGCTCGGCACTTCTTCAGGCAAGTGGTGTCGGCAATCTATTATTGTCATAAGGTTAGTGGGAAAAAAAATTACTAAATATTTCAATTTATATTTTCAAATCCATGTTTTACATCTAGTTATTTAAGATGGTTGGAAGCCGAAATATAATTGCCCTGTTTAAATATTATCACAATGGGGATGCATGACTTTCCTGCAATCTATCAAAAGTACAATAAGGATTTTTTTTTCCAGTTTTCTCTTTATAGCATTGTAATGCTATATTAGTTTAATATGGAACACATCCATGTGGACTAATTAATATTGTTTTATATACATGGACAACATAATTGAACTTTTTTCCTCATCCCTAGCTTTCATAGAATGAGTTTTCTCATTCCATTATGGAGGATGTAAACATTAGAGGATGAATGTTTACCTCAAAGTGGAAAATAAATTGTGTATTATGATTCCTGTTACATACAATATCTGTACAAACTGAGTTGATTGTAGTGATTGCTGAAATGTCCCATCTGGTCCTAGGGATGCAACTGTGAGATGCTACATTAGGAAACACATATCTACAGTCAAAATTATTAGGTTGGGTGATTTTGGTCTGCTGGATTTTGGGCACTACTTAAAGCAGTAGGCTTTCCCAATAAGGATAGTTAGAGTAGTATAAATTTCAAGTTTACCCTCAGGAAAATCATACTGGCATGACATTATAGTGGATTAAAACTTGATAATGTAAGTCTTGATTCTTCCTTTACTTTACTTACAAAGAGAAAGAGAGCAGATAGCAAACCTTTCCATCATTGAGAATGAGCTCTCTTCAGGATAATGGAGCCTGAGCAATCTTCCTTAGAAAGAGTAACCTTGCAACAATCACATTAATTCCTTTACTTTCAAATTACATGCCCAAAATAAGTCACTTGTTATATTGGGAAGCACCTGCTTCCATTCATTTTATATTCAAAGCTTATGGCCCTTGAAAGTCAAGGGGAAAGCTTAATGTAACAGACTAAGGTACAATTTGAACAACCTGCTTCAAATACAGCTTGTCAGTCTGGAATTCTAGACATTTACTGGTTTTATTTTGCAAGCTTTGTTCTTGGAAGAGAGGGAAGAAATGTAGGTTTTAGAGTCCTTTCTCTATCTTGGGAAATAATACTGGGGCTCTAGGAATGTTAAGGGCTATAGATGGGCAGAGTCAGTGGGAACATACTGCATTCCTTTGCAACTAATTCCATTGTCTTAGGATATAGTTAGAAACTGATAACAACTTGCTCTGTGCAACAAAATATACAAGTTAGGAAATCTGCTTTTTGCCATATCACCCTATTAGGGGAATTCTCAGTAGCAAGAGGAAATATGTCACCAAAGCATCGTACAGGGATTATAGAGGGAGGGTTTTCCTTCGTTGTGATTTCATCTGCATTATCTAGCAACAAATGTGCAGAAAGTTCTACTCCCACTACTCCCACACAATTACACATTCAACACATACAGTATTTTTTGCACAGAAAACCATAGATTTGAATTCAAACATCTTTATTCAGTGCTACAAAATAGTTCTTAGCAGGAGGCTTCTGGTGCTTTAGTTCTGATGTGTGGGTTGCGCTACTAAGACTGCAGGAATTCCATATTACTCTGCCTTCTTTACTTAACATGCATACAAGGTGTCTATGTTTCACTTACATCTCTACCTCTATCTGGTTTAGTATTTTGCTTCATAAAAAAATAAATCTTTAAGCAAATTACTAATATATGACACACAGCTAGATGGGACGAACTGAGATAGCTTTCCAGCATGTCTTTGTTTTCTCTTCTAACAGGAAAAAATAAACAAGCTTCTGTTTTTTTTTCCCCAACAGAATGGAATTGTTCATAGAGATCTGAAGTTAGAAAATATTCTTTTGGATACAAATGGAAACATCAAGGTAAGTTGGAATTGGCATGAAATAGCATTTGAGCACTTCTTTCCTATGGTAATTATTGGAGAACTTAAAACACGATCAAGGGCAATTTAAAGTAGCAATTTTGAAATGTTTGGATAGTATGTGATGAATTTCCATCCTTCCAATCCCCCTCCACAAATGCAGGTAATTATATTGGCAGAATGGATTTTAGTGGAGATGCTGGTACGTTAAGGCTTCCAGTGTGAAAATGTTTTAAATCATCTTAGAGTTTGCATGACGTCATTGCAGATTAGGCAAGTTAGGCAAGTTAGGCAACAAGACTGAACATTTAAGTTCCCTTATTTTGTGGAATTCAAAACATGACTAAGTTTCACAAGCAGTCAGCTTTAGAAGTGGCTACTTTCAGAAAGGTTGATACATTCTCTGCCTTCAAGCTTCAGGCATTGATGGTTCCACTTTATCCACTGACATATATTAGATTTCAGAGTTTCAGAACGGAAATATGAGTCCTGCCTTTTTAAATATCTAAAAACTAAAAGATGCTGTTATCCAAGCCCTTGTGTGTGGGTTATTTGGCTCCTTTAACAAGAAAAAGACAGTTAAAAACAACTAGTTGCCAAAAAGTTTAGCTTATCTTCTGTTCTGCTAAACAAGAAGATTGATAATGAAGAATTAAAATACATAGTGACTCTTGGCAAAACAGAATACAAAAAGAAAATGATGTGGTTTGTTTAAGAAAAAGGAAGCAGCATTTGTGGGACGGTGAAAGGAGACTTTGAAAACATTTTTTTAGTGGGGGAAAACAAGTGACCTTATTTTATTTTTGCTACCATTCAATTATGAAAAGCAGATGATTTTATTTATCAAATTTATACTCCATCCATCTTGCTTTCTCATTGTCGAGGGAAGGAGAGCTAGTGTGATCCACCTATCTTTGCTATTTATCTGAAGGGAAAAGGTAGTAGCTAGACATTTGTGACAAATATTTTCAAGCCTGACTAAAAGGCCACCATACATATTTACCTAGGTAAACTGTAAGTACAAGGTGCTTGTTCTGTTGCCGAATTTAGCATTTGGACAACTCTAAATCTAGGGCCAGAGAGCTTGTGTTTATGTGAACAATGCAGGAAACTAAAAGACTTTCCGTAAAAGTACAATTGATTTGGGGTTGGAAAATAAAACTTGTTCTAAAGGAAGTCCTTGCCTGGTAGTATTAAACAGCATTAATCTGAGATTATTCTTCTTTATCTTAGATTGCAGACTTTGGCCTTTCCAATGTTTTCCAACAAGATAGGCTTCTTCAAACATTCTGTGGCAGCCCCCTCTATGCATCTCCTGAGATAGTTAACGGAAGGCCTTACAAAGGACCTGAGGTAAGAGAACTGATAAAATAAATTTTTTCCAGTACTAGAGAAGCATTTGGACTATTAATAATATTCTGACCGCAAAACACATAGCAAAAATTCCTGGCTTTTCCTATTGAATACTTAATTGTTGCTAGATTATGCACCTGGTCGTGCATATTGTGTTTATTAAGCCTCTTGGATGTTTTAAGAGCAAACTGATGGCCAGAAACTACTGTGCAGTTTACAGCCAACGTACACTCTGAGAGAATGACATTGTTGTTTTATTGACAGTGATTAGGCCAAGACATTCTTATTTGCACTTCCTGATGCTTATAGCTGTTGCCAACATAAAGATCAAGGAAGAGTTTTATTCCTTGGGTAAATAGATTGCAAGTTAACAGTTGGCTTTTATATCTGCAGGTTGACAGCTGGTCTCTTGGCGTTCTTCTCTATATTTTGATCCATGGCACAATGCCATTTGATAGCCATGATTATAAGACACTGGTAAAACAGATTACAAGAGGAGATTACAAAGAGCCCACCAAACTTTCAGGTAAGTGGAAACCGGATGAGGGGTATTCTCCTTAGGGAATGTTTCCACTCTATTTTTATTAATCACTCACCACTTTGAGTACTGTTTTTATTGCAGTAATAAAATTGAATATTTTTCCAAGTCTTACATTTCTATTTCATATAATTCTAGGAAGAACTGAAAACAAGATATTAAAATAGTTGGCAAAGAAAACTTTATGATTCAAAAAGGCCAAGGATTAAGTGTAATAAAAAATGAGATAGATTGGCAGTACCACATTTCAAACTGTACAGTATTACCCAGCCAGCTGCTTAACTTGGATTACAGATTAGTTTTTGTCATTTTATGGCTGGATTGCTTATGTGGAAGGGGTAGCTCTTCAGATGCTTTGCATAAATATCATCCTAGAGGAATTACAAAAACAAATTAGAATACTCACAGACTTGACTGAATTTGAAAAACACAAAATTCAGAACATTTGTTGGGACTTATTTACAAACTGCTGATGAAATACTGTATGACTGAATTTAAATAGAATAATTGACATGCTGCTGTGGGGATCACAGGAGCAAATAAATACTAAGTTCACCAAGAATATTCCATTTAGTGAAAATTAGTACAAGATATTATATTGATGGTGTAGTACTGATTGCTAAAATAGCTAACTCATTTTCTAAAAAATATTGTAAATGCAATAATCAGGTCAGACAATTTTTCATATTTGATGGCCACACTGTAAAACCCCAGAGTCCAGGAAGCTGATTTTATGTACACTGGGGGGAAAAATGTAAAGGTTGAAATTATTTGCCAATCATTTATTTCTTTGCTAAACATTAGCAAACCATGTAATCTCACAAAATATATCAAGTCGGTTTTATAAAAGATAACTGCCAGGATGTTTTATGCTTTCCACTGGAAATCAGTTATAATTCCTTCCATAGAACTGGTAATGTTATGGCAAATTAAGTAGTAGGAATAGGCATCAGGGTAAAAAATAATCTCATATTTGAGAAACAGATATTTCTGAATTGTAATTCTACATATAGGCTTGTATAATATTCGGAGTGATTTTAAGGCTTTAATATCTAAGTTTTAATTTGATGAATAAGGAGAGAGTTCCAAGACAAAAATCTGTGCATTCTTATTTTTACTTATAATTGCCGATTGTGCAAACTGATTATCACCTTTTCTTAAACTACAACAAATGATCTCTTCTTCCTATATCCTATCTCTTATCTAGAAACAAATCCTTAAAACCTCACCATTCAGTTGTGATCAGCAAAAGTTGATTAAAGGTTACCAGAGATAACATATCTATTTTAATCTTGATCAAACAAACCAACATTATATTCCTTCCTTTTACTTTTAATAATCTTGATTTTAGCCTCTTCAAATTATATTCTAGAACTTGATTTGTTTCTATTTTATTGTTCCTTCTAACAAATTTAGCAAGCTTCCTTTGAAAATATATCATTCCATCATAATCATTGTTAACAGTAACAATTTTAAGGGAGGCATGGACTGGACAGCCATCTGTTTGGGAGGCTTTAATTTGAATTCTTGCACTGAGCAGAAGGCTAGCTTGATGTCCTGTGAATGTGAGGTCTATAAAAATATATTCTTATATTTGCAGCTTTAGAGTAACTGATGGATATCAGATCCAGGTCATTAGCTGAAATAAGACCTTTTCCTCTTGTACTAAAATTAGAAAGTTCTGCGAAATGAAGCATGTACAACTCATATGATTTCTTTGGTTTGCAGATGCCTGTGGCTTGATCCGATGGATGCTAATGGTGAATCCAGAACGCCGAGCTACCGTTGAGGACATAGCCAGCCATTGGTGGATCAACTGGGGTTACAAAGTACCAGTTGGGGAACAGGAGTCCGTGCGAGAGGATGAATCTCCATTGGCTACTGTTGCAGATTGGCTTCGCCGCTCCTCCAGGCCTTTGTTTGAAAATGGCTCCAAGATGCGGTGCTTCTTTAAACAACATATCCCTGGTGTCACGTTGGAGAAGCAGCGTTCACTCAAGAAGTCAAAAAAGGAGAATGACGTGTCTCATGCTGTGCAAGAAACAGGCTTAGCACCAGAGAACCAATCCAAATCAATCCTAAAGAGACCTAAAGGCATATTGAAAAAGAGAAACTCTTGTGAGAAGTCCCAGGGTCCTTCTTCAACTGTGGTAGCTCCTCTTGATATGCAGAAAGAAGACAATACTAGACCTGCAGTTGAGCTAGCTTGTGTCCTGTCTTCCAGATCCTTGGCCCACAATACAGAGGATGTTGTAGCTGTCCCTCCAGTGCCCAAGAAAGGAATTCTGAAAAAGACACCGAAGAGAGAGTCTGGCTATTACTCATCTTCAGAGCGTAGTGAATTTGCAGATGTTTTAGACTCTGAAAACATAGACCTCAATTCCAGTGTCTTTGTGGGCACTCCCTCCTCCTCTCAGAACTCCAGTGACAATCAGGCCAGGCGGAAAGGCATTTTGAAACATAATGGCAAGTATTCCTCCAGCAGCACTGAGTCAGACGATGTGCCTGACAAAGTCCTCCCAACGTTTCCTGAGGTGATCTTGCCCAAGCTGTCCCTAGCCTCTCGCATTTGCCCATCAAGCGCTGTGAGTGAAGATAGCATCCTTTCCACAGAGTCCTTTGACCAGCTTGATTTGCCTGATCGAATGCCAGGAAGTGGAGGGGTCTCCATGCGTGGCTCTGTCTCTGCAGATGACCTCTTGCAACTTGAGGAAGGAGATGGGGAAACCAAAGGTCGCCGACTCAGACGCTGGACAGTGACTCAGTGCCAAAAACCCCTTGCAGACAGTTGTTTCTCTCTGGCAGACTGTGATAATGTTACTGAAGTCTACAAACGGGCTGTGACTATCAGCATGAAACTAAGCTGATGGACTCATTGCCAATAAGGACCACTGACACATGTTTGCTAATCGTGGCAAACATGTTTTACAGCCCAGATTCTGGCATTCTCCAAACAATTTGCACTTCCCATTCAGATAGATAAAGAACTAAAGAAACAGTCTTTGTCTTCACCCTGACAGGGTTGGGAGGCTATTTATTTTTACATATTCCTTGTTTTTTTTGATGATGTAAAGGAGCATTTACGTTCCTATCATTGCCTGTAAAATGGTGCAACAGGGTATGGATGTGTGTTTGGAGAGAAAAAAAATATGTTGATAGAAGGGCAGTAGCTGTAGGAAAAAAGTAAAACAGTGTAATGGGCCTGGAATAATAGGGGGGGGGAGAACGAGAAGGCATCTGTTCTCTACAGAGTAATGGGCTAAAAGGGATGCACTTTTTTATTCTCTCAACACCATCAACAAAGAAATAACTGAACTGGAATCACGAGCAACTAATTCCATAACATTCTCCTGAATAGCCTTTATCTCTCCAAATAGACCTTGATCATCATCTCTAATCTTAGTGACTGGAGTAATGATTTTATTTGCACTGTGTTTCTTTAATTGCACAAAGAAGAGAATGTGTTAGAAATGCCTCTGAAGGGAAAAAAGATTAAAGCAAGATACTTGGAAAGGATCAACTAAGGTTCTGACTCATTGGATGGTATCTGCACTATACTGTATATTATTTAGAATTCCAATTACCCCAATACACTTGGACCGAAAAGGCAGAGAAAAGGGGTTCACTAAAAACATTCAGTTAAGAAACAAAACATTTTATAAAATTTAGAACAGTTTTCCCCAGTGGGTTTCCTCCTGTTAGACTACAATTCTCATAATCTTCAATCAATATAGACATTCTGGCTGAGGAAAATGGAAGTGAAGGCCCAACATATATGGAGGGAATCATGCAGGAAAGACTGACTTGTTAGAAGTTAGATGTTCTGGTAAAGTCTGGATATAGTAAAGGCACCGAAAAGTTCAAAATTCTCTATTCTCATTTTTGTTTTGTTTTACTTTTTAGAATACTAGAAAGGCCCTTTGTTTTGACCTTGTTTTAAAAAGTAACTAAAATATGGCGCATTTTTCACTCCTGCCAAAAAAGAATGCAAAATATAACTGCTGTAACCCAACTATGTTGTAAAGTGAATTTTCCTGTAGCTTTCAAATAGACACTTGTGTTTCCAGAAATGTGTACATGTATAGCTAGTTAGGACTGAATGAGAATATGCAGTCTAAAAGATCAAGGTAATGAGGGCCAGATGAAAATTGTTTAATGGGGAAACAGATGTTTGTGAATAGTAAAGCATAGCAAGTTTTTTAAGAAGTGAGTATCAAGTCCTTCCAAATACAATAAGTACAGTTGCCTTTGAAAAGATGTTAGGCTATGATTTGAAACCCAAAAGATGTTTACTTAACATAGGAAGACACCTTTCTTTGAACTTCCTGATGTTCTCCACATGTCCCAGAGGGTCTCTTTGTTGTTCAAGTGCCCCCCCTGAGAGTTACTGGAAAGAAGGAAAGGGCAGAAAGTCTCATTCTGGGGGGGGGGGGATCTCCTAAAAATTAGCCTATTTTAGAAATCCAGTCCTTATATTTTCTCTGAATGCCTGTGCTATATCTGGGTTGAAAAAATCAGTATGATTGCTAGATGACATTGGAAATACAGAAAAACAGGAAAACAAATGTCTTTATTTTCTAATTATTTCTGGATTTTAGTGGAAGGATAAATCTGGTTCTGTTGTCAAAATTGTGAAATCATTGTTTTTGAGTTTTGTTTTTGTTTTGTTTTTTTTAAAAAATACTGCCTTTTTGACCAATATGTACTTGACAGATTTTTTTAAAAAATAAAGAAGGTATTTTTTTAAAGGCAATATAGTGAATTCATAATCAGAAGGTGAGCTGCAAACATATCCATATTGTAGCATTTGGATTCTAAGTACCAGTTGCAGTATCTTGCCATGTATTTTCTGTGTTAACCTTCAAAGTACTGTGTTATAAAGTATTGTTCTTCCATCCAAAGAAGATACATTTCTAGAAAAGTGGGACCAGAACTTTTTGTCTGCTCATAAATTGATGCAATGGTTACACAAGAAATAATAATAAACAATAATAAGGAATTGTGTGCTTATGTTGACAGTTACTGTTTCCATTGTTTCCTGCCCAGGCCAGTCTCTTTAGACTCTCTGGCAGAAGTATCTGTGAAGGGGGCAGGGTCCAAAGAGGAGAGATAGCAAATATAATATTTTGGTACAATCCCCTCATCCTTTTGTTTGCTCATGCTCTTATCACACATGTAGAGGAGGGACCCGCCTGTTACATCTATTTTGACATCTATTTGTGCTGTTGCTCAGAGATATCCACAGGGTGGACAAGGGGGGCAAATAATAAAAGTATTATACTACCATAACAGAAGCTCCACCCCACCCCCTTGCATATGCATTATGACGAACGTATACCATGATCACTAGCCCAATGCTGTTATTGTCATTTTGACAAAAGTGCAATACTTAAACAGATTTCGAGAGAAGAGGCTGATTCGTAGAGAAGGAATTTCAGGAAAGAGAAAGTACATCCAGGTAATCCTTGACTTACAACTGTTCATTTAATGACCATTCAAAGTTACAACAGCACTGAATAAAGTGATTTATGACCTTTTTTTCCACAATAACAACCTTTGCATCTACCTATGGCCATGTGATCAAAATTTGGATGCTTGGCAACTGGTTCATATTTATGACGGTTGCAGTCCCGGGATCATGTTATCACCATTTGCGATCTGATAAGCAGAGTCAATAAGGAAACCAGATTCACTTAACAACCAGGTTAACAATTGTGGCAAGAAATGTTGTAAAATGGGGCAAAACTCACTTAACAAATGTCTCACTTAACAACAGAAATTTTGGGTTCATTTGTGGTCGTAAGTTGAGGACTACCAATATTTGAATGGCTGCTAGCTAACCAGCTCCAGAAAGGAATTTTAGGCAGAAAGTTAAAGGTAACAAAAATTACTCCATAGGGACATGTGGACATGATCTGTGAGGCTAAAGGAATGTGGGGTGTCTGAAGAAAAGATTCAGGAAAAATATTAGTGTTCAGGTACATAAAATATATAAAATGATTTTGAGGATCATTTCAGATTATCATTGTGACCCCGTTATCCACAATTCTGTAATTTCAATATTATCCACTCTTAACAAGAAATAGTCAAAAATTTTTCCAAATATCTTATTTTTTGAACCATTGTACAGTAACTGCATTTAGAAAATGAAGTGCAGCCTTTGTCCTCCGTCAGCTTCATTAGATGAATCTAGGGCTGAGTTATATGAAAATGAGGGGAAAACCTGACTTTATCTACTTCGCTTTCAACAAACACAAATCACCACATTTCTGTCAGGTGTCTCTGTTTACTAAACTAGAAAGATGCAAATACTGTAACCTTTCGACACAAAGGCATTCAAGCTCCATAATATTTTTAGGTTCTCTTTTCTGAACTTTTCCCAGAATTACAGTACTGTATACTCTGAGGTGTGGCAATCACAGGTATTAACAGCATACCAATTGTAGTTACATTATAGACTTTTATATAGGCAATTCTCAAGAGGCATTTTTTAAAAGTCTGTAACATGAAATCTTTTAAAAATGCCATATAAATACTGTAAATTGAAGTTTTCCCAGCACTAAAGTGTTCTACCTGCCGTTTTAATGTTTACTCACTTCACTTTGGAGAGCTTTCTTATGCTTTTTTTATTATCTGAAATGAGTTGGTATTACCAGCAAATTTTGTCACCTCAATGCTCACTCCTAAGTCCCAAACTGGGGAGGCATATATTCTGTCAGGCTAAAACAGCAATAATAACAAAAGGCAGAACCATACTGCTTTTTCTCCAAATTGTAACTTTTTGCCACTTGAGCTACCAAAGAAAAGATAATGTTATATTAATAATATCACAGAAAAGAATAATACATATTTTTAACAAACTGCTTGGAGGAGAAACATAGAAACCCTGCTCTAAACCATAAGTACATGATCTCTGAGTAACTGCTCCAAAAAAAAAAGGAAAGAGAAGAAAGAGAAAAAGAAAGAGAAAAGTAATAATCCCCAACTCTTTTCAATACAATCTGAAGTGTCAATTTATGGAAACTCATGAACCTACTATGTGGAACTCTGAACTAAGTCAATCCCAAATCTGCAAAAATAAGTACAAAAGATATTGATATAGGGGCCAAGGCATTTGTTTGATCCTCTTTACTTTGTCAAATTAGATGCTGTGTCTTTAAATTCCTAAGTATTGATATGAGGGAGGGGAGCTGCAATTACAATTAATTATCCTCCCTAGCTTTTCCCAACTGCAAAGCATCATTTCTTAAACATATATAGCATGGATTTCATTTTATTCTCTATAGTCCATTCATCTTGCTTTTCTCACATTTATGTTTGGAATATTTCACACTAACACATAATATTTTTGTCAAGTCAATTGACATTTATTTTTACAAGCTTGGGAACATCAAACTAATGGAATAATACTTTGCAAAATTCCACATGCAACAATTAGTATAATTTGAGATATCTGTTGACATTTACCATTACCACATATATTCATTCTGTCTGTCTCTGTCTCTTGCTCTCACACAAATACTCACATGCATACACACAACTCCAGCATTTTAGATAGTTTGATAAAATGAGCTGTAGCTCATTTCAGTAACATTTCTTAGTTGGAGAAAAGGAACTATCTGACTCCATCTGATTTTAATGACTTCAACAATTGCTGCATTTTCCTGGTAGTTATTAATCCTAATTATGGAAATATTTGATTTTTTTTCTGGAGTGTTTCATTTCAGCAATAGTGCACAGGAATGAGGCAAATGTACATAATAAGGCCTGCATCAAAATCTATTCTGCTTCATGACCCCAATATTTGTCAGTGGCAATCCAAACCAGAAACAACCCTGCTGCTAATCAGAATGAGGAAATACCCTGTAGATAGTAGCCATCTGTTGTATTGTTGGAATGTATGATTGTATGTTGCCAGGGTTTATGTGCCATGACATCTGTCTTACAACCCTAAAGTGGCCAACTGTCCTCTTGAAAAATGATGTCAGCACTACCTTGAAATAGGAATCAACTTGAGTGAATTTCCTTTCTGAGAGGAGACCGTGCAATCTTTGCCGTCTCCCATGGCA